GCAAAAAGAAAGAACTTTCACATCCAGGTGATCAAATGTAGAAAGAGAGAGAAGATGGAAAACAAATGTAATTTTCATACTGTGGTCCCAACTTTGTTCTTTGTTATTCAAGAGTTCTGGCAGACCACACTGTCAGAATGTTTGCATACAAGGCAAGAGGACATTTTCAGCACCTACCCAAACCTGGGTAGTAATTGTTTTATGTATTTCTATGTTACTACTTTATTGCAATTCCAAAATGATTTGACAAGAGAACAGTTAAAATACAAATAGTATATGCAGTGCTAAAGGTAATGTAAAATAAACATAAGCATTTTAAAAACAGGGTGAAGAGAAATCCAATATTTCCAATTAACCACTGGAACAACCTGCCTCCAGAAGTTGTGAATGCTCCAACACTGGAAGTTTTTAAGAAGAGACTGGACAGCCATTTGTCTGAAATGATATAGGGTTTCCTGCCTGAGCAGGGGGTTGGACTAGATGACCCCCAAGGTCCCTTCCAACTTTACTATTAATATTATTAACCCTGCAAGCACTGCAGGAAAAAGCAGAATGAATATTTAAATAGATGTCACCAGGCCTGATAACCATAAGGTGCAGCTGAGCAATACATTAGCTATGCCAGTTTGTGATTGATCAGTTAGCTTTTGCAGAACCTTGGTGCTGTTTTCGTGTGTTTTCTGTTTTGTCTTTTTTCTGTTTTCTTTTAATATCGCGAACTGCAGTATTAAAATAGTCTTTTAATATTGTCAGAGTTGTTAATATGAGATGAGCTGCCCTATAAGTGGAAATAAATAACTATGCAAACAAACCAACAATCATTCCCCACAAAACATTCTCCAACCCACAATTCATTGGCCAGTTAAGCCTACTCAATGACAGTCACATGGCGGAATGCCAGCCACGTGGTCCGGCTTGCAAACTCACGTACGCGCGTCTTTCCGGCAGTGGCGCCCTCAGTTTCCTCTATTATTCAGGACTGTAACTAAGACCAGCTAAGATATTTGTAAGGGAGCATTTTGAAAGGAGCCAATAGTAGCGGTAGTTCGCCACTGGCTCCACCCTCCCGGGCAAACTGACCAAATTGGGCACGTGTAAAAGTTGTTGAGGGCGGGGAAATTCAGAATCCATTCAGTTTATCCTATGCGCCGCGATCAGCAGAGCTTTTGGATTTATAGAAACCTAAAACATTTTGTATTGGGGGGGGGAAGCCCTTTAGGATGCAAGTTATCTGAAGCCGTTCAGAATCTGTTTAGAAGCAGAGTTGTCCCGGATTGCCCGCTAAGATCTGCAAAATTCACTGCATTTAGGACATATGCTGCGGGATTATTAACATGCTGATTTAGAAATTAGTAAACGTTAGCGTTTTAACATTAATAAATGTGCGCAAGCATACAGCTAAGCGTCCAGACCCAATACGCGATCAAGGAAAGATGCAGGCGAACCTCCGCATTTTTAGGGGAAAGTCCCATCGAAATTTGAACTGAGGCATCCCATTCTTTCCCAGGTAAATGGATGTAGCCCTTGATCGCGTAGATAGGATTGGTTATTCACGTTGGCTTCAAGACCAGTTGTCAAGCCCTACACAATGAGAAGATACAGTAATTTTGCTTGAAATTCCTGTGGGAATTAGGATAATTTTGAATTTGAAGAAATGTGCTATTTTAAAAAAAGATTTTATAAAACAACCCAGAATAAAACATGTAAGCGTTATTAATCCGAAATAATAATGATCTATGTGCCCAATTGCAGTCCATCAATTCTATGGTTATCTCTTCAAATGTTGCCCTTAAATAATCTGGGATTGGTATGTTCCTTAGTTCCAAGAGATTCTTTAGCATTTCTGCCTATTGTACATAAAACAGAGGTTGCACCATCATTTATGACATCTCATGCTTGCAGCCGAATTATGTGTAAATTACTGTAAATTGGACTGCTTGTTTTTCGGTAATCGTACAACACTGCAGCACAGTCGCTCAATAAACATACTTGGAACTGTTACCCACTGTTCCCATTGATGATTATTGTTAGGAGATGGATTGCAGCCTTTCTGTTTTCAATTAGATTTACCGAGCCGCATTGAGTAATATTTCTGACGTTTCAAAATCCGTATTAGGTAGGGCCCATAGTAAATAACGGTGGGCAATAGCAAAAATGAGGGTTCAGTAAAAAATCAGTCCGCGCGATTTTGCATGTGTCTGTCAATGGGCTCTTGTGTAAAAGCGCCGAGAGGACTCCCTGTCGAGTCCAACTGCCGAGGCGGGTCTCGAACAGAAAGAAACGCTACACCGATCGGGAGTTTCAACAACTGCTAAACGGGCAATGAACCTCTGCCAGTTGTCGAAAAAAAATTACAGGGAAGCACAAGCCCGAATCCAACACAGTCTCCTTGAATTAAATTGTTTCTTTGCTTCTCCTGCTTAGCGGCCGGCTTCCTTACTTGGGGGGGGAGGCGAGGCGAAGAGGAAGAATTCATCTCTTCATCCTACTGTTTCCCGTTTGAAAACAGGCTATTTCTTTCCGAGGTCTTGAGAGTGAAACATTACTGCATACAGATAACTTGCATTTTTTTTTTCATATAGCCGCTCCTTTTCTTTTTTTTCCTAGTCGCTCAAAACTGGTCCTTTTTGCAAAGCTACAGCGCTTTCCTAAGCGCAAACATCCCTGGCCAGAATCATCTCCCTCCTTGTAGCCTTTTAAGCTGCCAGCGAGTTGGGACTGGGACGGAGAGGGGGGGGGGTTGAGTTAAGAGGGGGGGGAACGCGGAGGATTTACAAATGCAAAGAAGCAGCTGAGGACCCACAGCAGCTGCTGCTGCCGCCGCTGCCCAGAACAGAAGCCCTGGCAGGCTGGCTGGCGGCGGAAGGGAGGAGGGACTTTTGTTTTTTGTTTTTTTTAAAGCGGGGGGGTTGCCAGCAGCAGCAGCAGCAGTCAGACGACAGTGCACGCACCGGCCGCAGGAGCAGCGCCCCGCCAGCAGCGCCTGGAGCTCGGCTGGGATCGCTATTGTGTGCGGACCGAGAAGCGAAAAGAAAGCCCGCGCGCACTCCCCCCCCCAGCCGCCCGGAAAGTATCGCGAGAGCGCCCTGGCTAACAACCTGCTTCGCAACACACACAGGAGCGCTACCGCTGGGTTACCAGCAACAAGGAGCAGCCCACGGAGCAGCCGAGGGAGGGGGAACCACATCTGGGGAAAGCGTAGAGTTTGAGGCAGGGAAGTGGAGGAAAAAAAAAGAAAAAAAGACTCGAGCACATGCCGTGCTCCAGCGGCACCTCTGAGGAGCGCCCGGCCAGGCGGGTGAGTAGCAGAGCAGCATATCCAAAGCTGCAGGTTTCCCCATCCCTCGCCGAGGCTCCGCGGAGGGGGTGGGTGTGGAGAGGCCTTTCGGTTCCCCGGCAGAGATCCCATTTGCTGCCTCCGGAGTGTTCGGCTTCCGCGCTATTTTGGGCCGTTTGCTGGATGCGTTTGGCTCCTCTGGGCTCCAGGCACAAAGGGGGAGCTGAGCGGATTGCCTTACAAAGTTAAGAAAGAACTGGTGGTGTGACTGTGTGTGTGTGTGTGTGCTGCTGCTACTTTAGAGTATAGGAAAGCGGTCGTGGGGGAGATCATCCAAAGGCATCTTAGCCCTAGGGGGCGATGTGCTTTTTAAAATGGGGGGAAGAGAAGAAGGGTCCTTAAAAGTTTGCAAACTGCAAATCCCGAACTTTGTTTTTCTCTCTTCCCTCCCTTCTGCTGCTGCTGCTCTTCCGCGCACCTCTCCAAAGGTCAAGCTGTGTGTCCTCCATTAAGAGTAACTAGTAATAAGATTGTTATTTAAGCAACTTTCCTGGGGTGGTGGAAGGGAGGGGGGGAGGCGGCGGCAGGATTTAGAATGAGGGAAGGACTCGGTTTAAGTTTGAGATTTAATAGATGGCTATAAATGGGGGGGGGGTTGTTGCTGGAACTTTAAAAGGCAGCAAGCTGTGGTTGGCTGGTAGCTAGATTTGAAGTAACATATGGCATTAAAAGGGGCACAGCTGGAGGTAGCATTTCCATCGCAGTGAAGTCAGAGCAGCTGACTCTCCAGCTTGCGGTGTAATTAGCAAACGGAGCACTCCTCCCATCCCTCTCCTCCCTCCCAGACGCTCTTTCCTTTCTTTTTTCCCCTCTCTCTCCCCCCCCCTCTTTTTTTCACACACACAGGCATTCTTCCGTTACTGGCTAGCAAAAGCCTCTTCTCTTCCCAAACATTTGGGTGATGGGGGAGGGGAGACCCGAAGCAAAAAACTTAGGCTGTTCTAGAACTTTTGGGAGGGGGAATTCGTTTTCCTCCCTATGAACCCTTCATTCTGTATTCCCCGGCTATTCAAGGTAAGGTCCCTGAGATATTATGTCCTCCTTAGGAGGAGCCTTAATTACAGGTAGCTGAGGAGGAACTGCAAAATATTGGGAAGGGGGTGTTTTTAAATTGTGATATTTTTGCTTTTAATAACTTTCAGATTTGCATCTTAGTTTTAAATATGCCTTCTTATATAAATCTGATTTCTGTTCTGAAGGGCAAGTGATGGTTTAAAAGAACAAAGCCAATGTGGTTATGCTCTTAATATTTTTAAGTGTGTGGGTGCAAAATACATTTTTTTAAATGAAGCAGTTATGGTGATCCCTTGGAGTTCAGACTTCCAGGAATGCATAAAACTCTGAAGTCAGTCTCCTCCTCTCTCCCCCCCCCCCTTTAGTTTTAAAGCCTTGAGTGGCAAAGGTTGGGAGGCGTTACTTCCTTGGAAGCTTTGGTTTACTTAAGAGTCAAGTTTTTCCTGTTTTTCAAGCAGGTGCTCTGATGTGGGGAGGCATTTTTGAAAATAAAAAAATAAAATAAAATTTGCAATCAGTTAACAGGTGAACTGTTATCCCCAAGGTTCCAGTTATCCCCTCCCCAGCCAATCTGTTTGTTTATTAATAGCTGGTTTGAAGCTGTGGTTTAGAGTAGCATTCAAGTTTTTCCTGTTTTGAACAGGTTATGAAGGAAGAATGGAGTTCCCAGACCATAGCCGGCAGTTACTGCAGTGTCTGAGTCAGCAGCGTCACCAGGGCTTCCTGTGTGACTGTACTGTTTTAGTTGGAGACGCTCAGTTCCGAGCCCACAGAGCTGTTCTCGCTTCTTGCAGCATGTACTTCCATCTTTTCTACAGGGACCAGCTAGACAAAAGGGACATTGTGCATCTGAACAGTGACATTGTGACAGCCCCAGCCTTTGGCTTGCTGCTTGAATTCATGTACGAAGGCAAACTGGAGTTCAACAGCCTCCCGGTTGAAGATGTGCTGGCTGCAGCCAGCTACCTTCACATGTACGACATTGTGAAAGTCTGCAAGGGCAAGCTGAAAGATAAGGAGTTGTGCGGGGATGAAAAGATGAACGGCAGTGGGATCCCTTTGGAAAGGGACATGCGGGTCCTTGATGAAGGAGTGCCCTTGGGGTATGAGCTCAGCCCCGGGAATAAACAAAAATTGGTTTGTACAGAATATGAAAGATCAGCTGGAAAAGAAAAAGACAGTGGCTATCTGGGTTGGTCCTCTGATCTCGTAAGTATCAACTCTTCATTAGCAGAAGCAGAATTGGACACCGTGGCAGCTGAGAAAACAAGAGCTAATGCCTGTAGTTCAGTGGGACCTTTGTCCCAAAGATCTCTTAACCACTCCTTGGCTTCATCTGGCATAGAATGCGCTTTAGACCTGTCTTTTAAGTCTGTGGCTGGGAAGGATTCCTTCCACCCCTCCTATGTCTTTGAACAGCTAGCTTCCAACGGTCAGCAGCAGACTGGCAAGCCCCTGATTAAGGATGAGCCAGAGTCTTTGTCAGATGGAGAAGATAGTGAGGCAAGGTGCCTAAAAAATCAGCATTTGAGGAATTCTGCCAAGAGCCTGATGACAGGATTGGGAAATGTGTTTGCAGGGAATGGCAATTCCCAAGAGCCAGAGGAAGACTTAGATCACGAGCGAGAGGTGAGTGAAGACGACATGGATTCCTCTGACATCCCGTCCTTGGGGGTCTTGGTGCCTCCAGGTCACATCTGCATTTGCCCACTGTGCAGCAAAGTCTTTCCTAGCCCACATGTCCTCCAGCTGCATCTCAGCTCTCATTTCCGTGATAAGGATGTTTCAAGAACCAGGCTTTCCCCTGATGGTTCAGTGCCTACTTGTACACTTTGCGGCAAGACTTTCTCCTGTATGTACACCTTGAAAAGACATGAGAGGACTCACTCGGGTGAGAAACCATACACCTGTGGTCAGTGTGGGAAGAGCTTCCAGTATTCTCACAACCTGAGCCGCCATGCAGTGGTGCACACGAGGGAGAAGCCCCACGGCTGCAAGTGGTGCGAGAGACGATTCACTCAGTCAGGCGATTTATACAGACACATCCGTAAATTTCACTGTGGCCTTGTAAAGTCACTGGTGGTTTGAGAGACGTTGCCAAAAGGCACCATTTACTGGATTTCTTTACTCTGTTGATTCACTTCAGGCAAATTATATTTTGAGGGGTTGGGAGAATGTAATTGTACATTTCATAGAGGGAAGGCTTCAGTTGGGCATTCTCCCCATCTCTGGGCCTACTGTAGATCTGCAATTACCCTTAATATTCTGTTCATTTTGGAGCAACAAGCCGAATCTCAATCTGAATTCTTGGAAAGCTGATTTAATCTTTTTGGTTTACTCTAATTGGTATGCTTCTGTCTTGGTGGATGTGCTTCTGATAAGTTGGAAATATGGTGAGGAAAATAGAAACCTTGATCAAAAGTGCTCCTTGAGTGAGATGTACCAGATTTGCCTGCATAACAGCTCCTCCCTTCCTTCCAGTTTAGTACTCGTATCTGCAGTGCAGATGCCTCAAGTAGGCGATTTCAGAGTTCTAATGGCCCCAGTTCCTTTCCTGCTTTGGATGTAGCTTTTTTTTAGTCAATGTTTTTAATCTGTTCCAGACAAGGAAAAATTGAGAGGGGGAGGGATAGACTTTTTTATTTATGAAGTGTGTGAGAGAGAAGAAATCTGATTCATGTGCCTCATGGGGACTATCTAGAATTCTTATAATAATTTTTACTATAATTTGAAGAGGCCTTGAAATCGATGTAAGGTGGGGCTGAAAATTCCCCCTTTATCAGCAGGTGATAGTTTTGTTCTTTTGAAACTCTTCCTGCCAAATCATCAGCCTCACTGGTGCTGCTATTCTTTTGCCTTTGCCAATATTTTGGAATTTCTCTCTGAATTTACATTTCTTGTGAATTGTAGTGAAATACTTGTTCTCCAGCTTTGTTGGTATTCTTGCAGCTCTGATTCATTGGTGACCCTAGTTGTGTATTATTTTCTTTCCCCTTGGCTATCATGTATAGAATTTTGGATGTGAACTTTGGCTTTTGTATGTGGAAAGCCAGAGTGCTTCCCCCACCCCCTAATATGAATTATCTGCTGTGAAATGAATCTCAGGTAGAATACATGCATGCATACCTGTGCATACATACCTGGATTAATACTGAAGGAAACCGTAGGAGAAAACCTTTCAAGATGAATCTTGAAATGGTATAGGAGAGAGTCAAGATGCAGGCATTATAACTCGGTGCAAACACATTCATACTTAACTAGTGCAATCCTCTAGTTTTGCTTCTAACAAAAGCACTTTTTCCAAGTAAATTAGGGGAGAAAAATGGAAATTTTAAAATTTTAAATTTACTTTGCCTATTGAGACTGTTGAAAGTTTCTGATTCCCTTCTCTAAATTACTTGACAGGCATGTTTTTTAGGATTTGGGGGGGGGAGGGAATTTCACAGTCAACATGGTACTGCAGATTATTCAGTGGTGGAAACATACTGTAATAATTCTACTTTGTCAATGAAAATAAGTGGTAGTATTTGAAGGCCCATTGCCTTTCTAGTGCTTATTTTGCTTCATGTAAAAGCTATAGCCCTCACTTACCATCAACTGTAAAGTTATTTTTGGTCTTAGATTGCCAACTGTGATTAATCCTCCCCATACCATTGTTGTTTGATCGCAGTCATTAGGAAAAAGTGCAAGATCAGACTACACTCTCCCCCCTTCCCCCCTCCCAGCTGAATAATTCAAGTTGAGCCTCACAGGCCTGGTTTTATTTGAACCAGGCCAGTGAAGACATTTCTCTATGAAGCATTCATAGTTGCTGTGTTCATCCATCTGTTCATACATAAACAGATAATTTGTGTATTAAGGATGAATGTTCTTCCTTAACGTATTCACATACTTTACTCCCATTAGCACTAACTTAGACCTATCTCTAAAACATCTGGCTGCTGCAGGAAGTCAATTGATTGGGGGAGGGGAGGCTGTTTCTTGGAAACTGAAGAATCAGGCTTCCCCTGACTCTTAATGCATGTTTGGCTGGAACAGCTGATGGACATAGACTTGGGTTTGAAGAAGAAAAATGGGTTCAAAGGAATGGGGCCTTGAAAAGTTATGAGAGGATCAGATGAGCATGTTGGAGGTGCAGATGGCAGTCGCATTAATGCATAATTTCCTTCAGAGGAAAAAATACTTTGTTATAATATGCACATGCCTTTTTTTTAATCTTCAAAAAAATAAGCTTTTGAAAATATCTCTTCTGCATTTCAAATTATGGGGGAATTCTGTTGGTCTCCAGAAAATGCAGTGCCATTTTGTGGCACTGAACATTAAGGCTAAAGTAGTGTGAGTTATTCCATAGGATTGCAAAGGAGCAGGAACTGGTTTCTTGGAAGCAGATCTGTCAGCAAAGAAATTCAGTTTCCTTCTGAAGTTCCCCCAAAGTTTCCTCTGCTGTAGAATACTTTGTGTTCTTATTGATATACAGTTCATTTTCATAGATCAAATCTTGTAAAATGCTACTGATTTATAGATGGGAAAGGCTTGATATTGGTTTGCATAAATAACTCCTTACAAGCAAAGCATTACTGCATGGCTTTGGGTTGTGTGGTATTTTGGAGAGCTTAAAACAGATTGAAATGCGGTACCTTTGGAACAGATTTGGGATGTTCACTTATTTCTACCTAATTCCAGTATTCTGTTGCCTGTCATGTTATTAAACTTGACTTCAGTTACCCACAAAATATATTTTTGCATATGTGAAATATTTATAAACAAAGAGTATAACTGATCAGATTTCTGAGAAGTTGGTGTTCAATGAATGGGACTAGAGGAGGATTGCCAAAACAAATGTACTGTCATTTTGGATGCACTGAAATGATTTTTTTTTTGAAAAGGCAAGTAATATTAATGCTGCAGAAGAAAATATTATTCAGCACTTCCCATTAATTAATAGAATTCCCCAAAAGGGAGGTTGCATAAGTCGCCACAGAGAATTGTTATGTGCTCAGCCAAAATTGTGATTGTGGGTGGTTCTTGGGGTCTTTTTTAACAATAATATATCCCACTGTTGAAAAGGCATGTAAACAATAACATCTCTTTATCTATAGAGTTAATGCAAAGCAGTGTCTCTGTTTTAATTTTTTCCCCTTCCTGATTTTATGCATTTCCCTTTGAACTGTAGCCAAAATATTTAGGAAATAGTGCTATGAAAAAGCATAATTGCAATATAGCTGTTTTGGAGAGGGAGATGTTATGATAAGTGACTCCTTTTTATTCAGATAAAAACTTATGGTGCAAGCTTTTTTAACTCCTATTTTAAATGATAGTGGCCATAGTATGTGAAATTTGACATTTATTGAATATTTGATTCTAGGTAATTGGTGACTGTATAAACATTCTTACTAACAAGGCATGGTAGAGCACCATATTCCTAAGACACGTGACAGCAGTACTGTGTCCTTTCTTCATATCTTTACCCCACCCCTTGGCCCAGATTGGAAATAGCACTGAACAAAACCTTCAAGTTAAGTTATTTCTTTTCTTTTTAAAATTTAAGTTATATATCTATATATATTTTCCTCCTGATGATACTTGATATAGTATTTATTAGATTTGTTTTTTTTAAATTAAGGAATGCTTGCTGTGGAGCTTTTTCAGAATAACACGTGTGAAATTGGTGATTTTAATTTTATTTCTGTACATGTTTTACAAAGTGAATGTGTGAACATGTGAACCAGTACACAGAATGTAGTGCTCTTTATATGCTGGTCCTATGCTGGGTGGAATGGCGTGAAAATACCCATCTCAACATGGAGTCTTGATTGTTTGCAAAGAGCTTTCCTTTCTTGATTGCAGCGGAGAATGAGGACGAGATGGTTTATCCCAGGCTTATCCCAGGCGCAATGCAGGGGGCACTACAAGGAAGGACTTAAGTACCTGGGTCCCTGAACTCATTTGCCTCTTCTCTTGGTACTTGTTGAAGGATTTAAAAGTAAATGCCATAGGATACCAGTAGGTTGGATTTGAGGGTTTTGTATTTTAGCTAAGTTTAATTTTTAGGAAGAGGCATGCTCTCTGCTGCAGTTAAAAAAGAACAGGTGGCAGATGCATCCTAAGGGATTTGTTGAAGTGTTGTCTTTTTATTATTATTTCTCAAAATTTCTGGGTTAATCACTTTTTTTTAAAAAAAAAAGATTGCACTTTTATTTAAATATCTTTTTCATTTTTTGGATTTTTTTTAAACCGTTGCAATAGTTCTGAGCATGTTTTGTTTGTTTTTTTAATGTTTCATTACTCCACAGAAAATTACTAAGCACTGTATACTTAGGTTTGTTCCTTCATATTCAGCAGCTGTTCTGGTTTGCGGAGAGCATAACTGGAAATTTGGGGGCTCCGCTTTGATTTTTACTCATTGGAGTCAGAATTTTATCATAATACAGCTTTACTTATAACACTGAATTTGTCTTCTACTTCAAACCAATACTGTGAAGTTAATGTTTGAAAGAAAAAAAAATCTGCTATTTTAAATTGCTTTTAATCTTGGTGCAGTTCAGATTCAAATATGTATATTTAAAGACACTAATTTTTGTGGGAGAGTTTTTATAGTGTATAGTATGTAGAAAAGCTATTGGATTGAACTATATTTTATTAAAAAAAAGTTCTTTCACTGTTTTATAGTGAATTATTACCCTTACCCTCTTATTGTTGGTTCTATGCTGTATTTTAGGCTAGGTTCGACAATCGCATAAAAATGACTTTGACAAACTTTAATGTCTAGTTTCTGTGTGGTTTTGTTCCTTTTTTTTAAAAAAAATTGTGTGTTGGTATGTGCTTTTTTAAAAAAAGAAAAAACTGTGACAATCGTGATTAGAACTGTACTGAATAAAACACACTAGAGCTATAAATGAAGTCTTTTATTTATTTCAAAATATTTAGATTGTTTAGAATGAAACCTTCAAAAAGTGATGTTCACAGAGAAATGATATAGAAGATTCAATACAAGAATCAAGCGGAGGAAAACAATTTTGAGTCACCCAAACTAAAGAATATGTGCAAGTAAAGAAATAAATGTTCAAGGTTATTTTGAAAAGGCTAAATGTAGGTCAAGCTTACAAAAAAAAAATCAGTTGATAAAATGTGGGGTCGTCACTAAAAAGTCCTG